AATAAAAAAAAACCACTGAGAGGATCTTATGAATTTAACTAAAATTTTCCAGTCATTTTTTTCCCTAAAACTTTCCTTCCCCATAAATGCCCATAAACATGACAAAAGCATGATAATGCTTAGTTTTAAATGAATGCTTTAAGGAGTTGACAAATCTCAAAAATAATCTGGATAACTTTGTCTAACTTTATGATAATATCTTGTGTGCTTCCAACAGCACCTCAAGTCACCAGACATTTTAAAAGAACTGTGTGACTAAACACAGCGGCTGTATTTCTGTGACCTTGTTGCCTTGCACTGGTTTATAGACCTCACAGCCAGAGTGGATGCTCTCCAGCTTGTTGATGGTGTGAAAAAGTGTGTGGATTTATTCCACTACCACACAGTGCCAAGCTACAGTATGTATGCCTGCTCACAGACATTAGCCAACTACATCTCTACCAGGGAAAATGTGATGTGTAATACTGTCCTGTGGGGAAATATCAACATATGATGGAACTTCACAAAAAGCCAGTAAGACTCGGACACACAAACACCATCCAGAGTAATGCACACGCAGAGGTACACAACTCCACTCTGTACGCTAAGGGAAAAATACAACTTTTTATTTGTCTTGGAAGCTTAAACACCAGAGTCACCACATTCGCATAGAGCAAGAAAAAGTCATTTTGCTATTTAAAGCGCACCCATGTTAACAATAAAGGATTTATTCATCTGGTCGTGTATTTGTATTTTCTTGTTAAATAAGTTAAGGGTTAGTTCCTGTACAGGGCAAACAAGGTTGTGAGCTGGCTCCACAGTTAACAGCATGACGTGAAGAGAACAATCAACAGTGTGTGTCCTGTACGTGTTGTGACTGAGGTGTCGTTAGAACTCGCTGGTTGTTTGTGCATTCACAAATACAGTACCCTGGAGTTACTGGGTATATATCATTTTTGAATAGAGGGGCAGTATATGTGTATGTGCAGGCACCACTTAAGAAGTTGGATGTTTTATAGTTTCAGTTTCACTCCTCTGTCAAATGTTTTATGGTGATTCAAAGCATTAAACAAAATTAGTTAATTTCTTTATTGTATATTTGTATGAATATTTTCATAGTTTTGGCAAGGTGAAGTCCTATAAGCTATTTGCTGAGATCAGGGAACATGCAGCATGTCCACAGCTACCCAATGATGTTTGAGTGAATGTGGTGACTCTGGTGTTTAAGCTTCCAAGACAAATGCTAACATGTCCACAGTAACAATGCTAAAGTGCTGATGTTTAGCAGATGTAATGTTTATTATGTCCACCATTTTACAGTATTAGCATGTTAACATTTGTTTGGCACTAAACAAAAAAGTACAGATAATGCTGATGGGAATGTTATTAGTTTTGCAGTATTTGGTCATAAGTAGCTGGTACACAACACAAAAGTTTGACAAAATGATTATGCAAAATGAAAGGTCAAAGGATGACCACAGATCTTACATTTCACACTTTTGTCAACCAAACTGTTGCAGAAGAGAAAAGAGAGGAGTAAAATTCTAGACCAAGCTTGCTCATTGTAAACATCCAGCACAGTTTACAGGCCAACTTCCTGCTTCAAGTGACCATAAAACAGAACATCTTACTTGTATTCATCCAGTGTTCCTGTGATGGATTATTGCCAACATTTTTAGTGTGCTTGCCTATATTTTACCCTCAAATAAAATGATTCACATGATCTTGCTTAAATGTTGGCTTGTCTACAATCTGGCTGATGATTTAATTACTTGTGTTTCTTGCTCCATCTGAATTCACTGCAGAGATGTTATGATGTTCCCAAATAACATGTTGAAATTTAAAATCTCAAGCTGTAATAAACCATGATTATCCTTTAATGTAAAGTACACAGCAAGCTCATTTAAGGGAGGCAGTACTAAAATATCATCTCTTCCAAATACCATACTGAATTTCCTTTGACCTCTTTCACCTCTTCATCTCCTGTCATCTTTAATTTGACTTCTTATATACAGCATAGTAGTAATGTGCACGCATACCCTTGTTCAACATCCGCTGCCACTTTCCCTGTGTTCCATAACAAAGAATCTGGATTGCGTAACTTGTCTGTCAAACCAGTTTTTAACTCCTCACTATTTTAATACTTCACCACAGAGTTGGGGGGGGGGGGGGACCACCCCCCCCCACCCCCTGTGACTCACTCTGATACATGCGTAAGCAGCCACTACAGACCTAAGAGCAGTATTCCATTACTCCTACCACTATTAGTGTCCTCATCATTATCATCATCACTGTTGCTGTATTTTCAGCTTACTGTGCCAGCCTGGCTGTGTTTAGCAACAGAGAACAACTGACTGTAGCGGCCAGGGTTAGATCATAATGTAGATAATGCATCTCTATGGAGATTTTCAGCTGTTTGCTTCCTCTTTCTTACAGGGCAACATTTTTACTGTAAGAATGGAGCGAGCTTTACGAAACTAAAATGGTAAAATATGTCAATATAGATGGGAAAAGGCAGCACCAAAAAGAGTCACAGTGGACACTGCAGCAAAACATATCTATGCTGTCATCAGCTTGTCTATAGGAATATATAAAACCTAGCTATGGTAATGTTTGAAATGGAAAAAAATCCCAACTAGAATGTGAAAGTTTTGGATCAAAGTGTGGCACCATCCACAGTTGGGACATGTTCAGTGAGCACGGAGGCACAGAAACCACGTCACATGCCATCCTGAGAGAGAAGTCGGGGCACCGAGCCAGAGAGTAAATATTCACTTGACGATAATGTGCGTGCTGATCTGGTGTACACACCCTCTGCCCACAGATATGAGCAGCCTTTTATCTTTAACAATACACACACAGGCTCAGTAACAGTGACAGGACAGAAACATAGCAATACAGAGCGGTAAGAAAGTGCTGATCCAGCATCTTCAGTGAGCCTGAAAAATATAAAGAATGACTATATGGTAAAGGTACAATATATGTTGTTTATATTATTGAGTAAATTCAGATTTTAAGCTCAGACTCAAGATGTACTGTGCTCAGATTATCCAACCATGCTGAAGAGCCTATGGGGCTTCTCTACTCCCTTTTCAGTTCAGGTGTTGAAGAGATTTTAGCTGTTTCCTCACACACTGCAGATGTCATTTTCTGTGTTGGCTCATTTTTGGGATCATTGTAAAAACTCTCTTTTGGCCTGAGTGTGAAAATATGCCTCCCCGCCAAAAAAGGGGGAGCCAAGCAAAAATCATAAAAACCCTCCACTTATACATTAAATGTTTATATTCAGACATTAAATTTGCTGGTTTTTCTACTTAAATGCTGTGATAACTTTTTCTCCATAATGTGTCCTATTCAGCTCCATTTCAAAAGGCGCCCTTTCTGTGGGGACCAAGGCCTGAGCCACACTATGTGAAAAACAGACAGTTTTTGTTGCTGATGGGAGCAAGTTGATGCTTATCACTTACGTCATGACTAACTCTGGCAGAAAATGTTGGCGCTTTTGCAAGTGGAAATATTAAAGTGGACCATGGAATGCTAGCTTCATGTCCCGGCTTAATCAGATAAGGCAGCAGACTTAAGTAACAAAACGCACCTGAGGAGCTTCTGAAAGAGACCTTTTATGACTTTGTCCCCCTCAGTGTCTAAAAAAAAACAATAACTGTGTGTAGAGCCAAGGTCCATTTCTAAAATACACACAAGCATGTAATCATTGGCAGTTAATTAGCGCACAGTGTTATGGTACAAGGGCAGCATGGTCATTAAAAAAACATTTCCTGTTTGAGTTCACTGATCATTTAACTGATAGGCACAAAGACAGTTTTATATTATCAGAGATTGCAGGCACCAACCCAGTAGCAGAGAAGGTCCATGACAAAGAGTGAGTTGTGCGAAGGTGTCATAATGTAATATTTGCTCATCTAGGGTTAATTAATCTGACCTAAGTCCAGTATTAATATAGTACAAGAGAGAACTGTGCTTTTGGTGACAAACGGTAGGGTTCAGTGTGCTTGAAATGGTCATGTGACATGTCATTTGACCACATCTAAAGGACAAAGTTGTTATACTTTTTTTTACAAATGGCCACGCATGAAGGTGGGGTGAAAAGCCTGCCATCAGAGGCTCCTCCTGGCTGCATCACATTGCCTTCTTGATTTCTCTTCAAGAACTCTGGATCTTGTGTGTCTTTGTTGTGTTGACAGCAAAGAATCAAAAATGGATTAATGGTGTTCAGTTTCAGCAGCTTCTCCTCAAAGGCATTACCACTGTACAAAGTAGTGCTGAGGCCAATGGGAATGTCATTAGTTTTGTGGCATTTGGTCATAAATCAAAGTAAAACAGACTGAAATTTGATCCAATGATGGCACTAGATTAAAAGTACTGGTGATGTGTGTAGTGATTACAGTTTATCCTGAGGGCAACATGAATGTCTGTACCACATTTCATGGCAGCCCATCAAATAAAAGTTGAGATATAATTTGCAAAAAGACCAAAATGTCAGTCTCATGGCGGTGCTACAGGAAAAATAAGAGCATCACCAGAATCAATAGGAGTTGTCTTCTGAGTGCCATACTGTAAATGTACGTGCAAAAATCAGTAGCTATTCACGCAGCACTTGTTGAGATATTTTAGTCTGGAGCAAAGTGGTGGACTGAGAAACTGAGAGATGGACTTTGCCTTCCCTAGAGCCATGCCGTCTACATAGCTAAAAGAAATTGTGAAAAAAAGAGCTTGAGAGAGTTGTTAAAAGAAAAGCTGACATATTGTTAATAACACCACAAATTACTTGCCAACATTATGTTTACATTTGATGGATTTAAACCATGCTACATGATACTATGCTAACTTTGTAATGCTTGTAATTTTTTTACATTTATTGAAACAGTGTCAGAAAGGTGCTAAGTCAAGTTTATAATATTCTTACAACATAATAACAGTTGCAGTGTTATTGTTTCCACCCCCTGTATGTGCACCTACAGTATTATAGCAGGAGCATGACTTATCCTCCGACTCAGACCTACTTTCACTATATCGCAGGATGTACTCAGGAAGGGAGGAACAGGCTGTAGGTTCAGACCGGCTGGAGAGGACAAGGCGGGCTTAATGCCGGTCCCAGGATGATGACCTCTTAACATCGTACGCTCAACCTGTAGTTACGCAACAGCTGTAACGCCACCCATGTTGGCGAGGCCAGGGAGGAAGCGCTGAGGACAGACTGATCCCCAGTCTCCCTCTCAGGGGGCCGGGTGGAGAGACAGGCCAGGTCTCAGATCTGATTTTGCAGGAAGGAAAAGAGAGGGGAGGGGAGCGTCGGATCAGAGTGCTGCTGTTGCTTTATTTCATCCTTTCGCCCTGTTAACTGTGACCCAGGCATGTGTGTTATGACTGCCACAGAGGTGGAGTTATTACACACACAAAGCCAAGCCATGTCTAATCTTGTTGCTTTTTTTGTTCTGCAACAATACGGGGCTCCTTTCTGGGGGCCATGATTCAAACAATTTAAGAGAAACAAAAAATTATGCAACATCTTAAGCAGCTGTCACATCAGGCTGATTAAAGTATTTTGCAGATTAGCCCCAGGGTCCTCAGACATTTCAACATTTAAAAAATCACCTCAAAGCACTCCTGCCTATTTTGTTTCCTTTGCTGACATTTCCTGAGCTGCTTCTTCGCTGACTAGCAGGTGATTTTGAAGTGCACTTCTGGCCAAAGGGTGCCTCAGTCTAGCTATATAAAGACAATTACTACAACAGGAAACTCTTGTCAGCTGGAGGGATACACACAAGAAGGGTACAACAACAATAAAGGAATCCACACACACCCATGTGCCTGCCTGTGCACACAATACAAACACCAGTGCCCTCATACATGCTGTCTGTGCACACAAACACCAGTGCCCTCATACATGCTGGATAACGTTCCTACAGTGTACACCCACTGATGCTTACAAATGCACCTCAGACGTCCATGCCTACTCTAACTCTCCTGTCCCCTCCCTCATTCTTCTGGCATGACGCAGCCCTTCATCACCTGACGACACAAAGTCTCCCCACCCTCCAGAGGACATGGAGGCCTGATCCAAAGTTTGACACCATGCTGGCACAGGAAGTGAACCCACGCCCTCTTTGCTAGGGCTCAATCACTGCAGATCTCACAATCTGTCTGCCTTGCCTGTCGATGTAAAAGTCTGACGGTTATCGGCTGACCCTGCAGCAAGTGACATTTTGGGAAATTCCCTTCAGTGCTTTCTTATAGTTAGCTGAGCAGATCGATAGTGCTCTCAGCCAAGACGGTGTTTAGCATAAAGACAGGAAACCTTTGTTGAAAATCCGGCACCATAAAGGTCAATAATTAACATGTATTTCCTTTGTTTAATCCATGCAAACACATCAATTCTTTGTTCTGTTACAGGGGCTAGTCCTGCATATAAAATGGTGATTTGCTTTAAAGTTGCTGGTAGACAGATGTTGTTACTTTCAGACAGGGCCAGGTTGGCTGCCTCCCCCTGGCTAATGGCAGTATAAATGAGAGTAATATCAATATTTTCATCAAATTTTATTTACAAAAGTAAAGAAGTGTATTTCTCAAAATGTTGAACTTTTTCCTAAGTATCACAGACTGATGCTGTGCAGTATCAGTGCTCCAACTAAACTTTAAAACATGTTAAAGTATGATTGTTAAGATAACTACTTTTTAATATTGGCTGTCTGAAATGTTACATCTAATGGCCCTGTGTATAGCACAGTGGCAGAATTTACTAACCAGCTGCTTCTTACCATTATTTTATACCATTAATTTGTGAAGTTGGGTGAATACCAATCGAGTGAGTTGGATATTGTATGTGGAGTGCCTCAGGGTTCTGTTTTGGGACCTAAATTATTTATACTATATATTAATGATATATGCAAGGTTTCTGATTTAGTGAAAGTGGCTTTGTTTGCTGATGACACTACCGTATGGGCATCGGGTGAAAACCTACAGCAACTCTCTCGACGGGTTACACAGGAACTTGAGAAGATAAAGAAATGGTGTGACAGTAATATAGTATCT